TTGTCATCTGGACGATATGACGAAATGTCATCATGAATGATTGAGCAAGAATTTTATATGTACAAGACAAAATCGATTTATAATCACGAATTATAATAATGCTTTTAAAATACCAAAAATATTATTAATGATAAAGAGAAAATCGTTTTACTGATAAAATAATTCAAGAAGTTTAATAGATTTCTTCGACTTAACTAATTTCCATTTATAAAACCATTAGGCGACAAAATAGTGCTTTAAATATTTCTTTAGGACGAATTTTGTGTTGGCGTCGACATTGTTTAAACCCTTATTGAAGATGATTTAGAACTTTTGACATTAAAAGATTTTAATTTAAAAGAAATATTATTTGTTTCAACTAGATGAAAAATTTCAGCTGTCGTTGGCAAAATGATGTTTGAGCAATAAGTTTTTTGTCGAGTGAGTTTTCTAGGGGTAAGATTGTACTTGGTTTGGATTTTATATATAGGGGCAAATGGCCCAAGCACCTCATAAAACGCCGTTCAATAACTGAAAGGGATCGGTTAAGGGACACGTAGAGCGGAAATCGGACGAACGCTGACTCAGAGGTAGTAATGGATTCGCAGGACGATAGAAAAATTTCAATTACATTCCCGTTCGGTAAACCAATATCGGTGGAAACATAAATACAACATTGACAGACTGGCAAATAAGAATACATTGTAAAAACACCTAATGGCGAGGGTTTATTGTGTTGCTTCCCACCAAACCAATCCCCGATAACCCCTCGCAGGTACCCTGGGGGCATTAACACACGCGGCCTTGAAAGTGGGGCTCCAATATGACCGTGTGTGTGTTGAAAGAGTTCGGAAATGACCAAAATCCGAAGCTCAACTGCATCTCTAAAAGAATAAAAAAAGGACCATAAAAGTACTTAGTCTCCCGCCTAGAGTCTTGTCGTTTGAGGGCCACTCGAACACGTTACGCTACTTTTTCAAGGACTCATCGAGGCATGGACCCTTTTATCATTCAGCGTGAGGTCTTTAGGTTGCCAGTCAGTTTATGTTTCAAGCGCAAAACGTGCCTCCTAAGGAATTATTTTATGCTCGCATCGGTTTATATTATTGATTTTCCATGTCCGCAGCTTCCGGATTGTATTCTCGATAATATCAAACTGCACAACGTTCCAAAACAGGCACTTGAATTTTTAATTTACTATCATATGCACTATTGTTGTATAATTAAACATTTCTTTTTATTCATACAAAAATTAATTTTCCCAAAATCACCATTTCAATAAAAATAATTTATTTACATTTCGAACAAAATTACCTTGTTTCTAGCTATCTCTCCCTAGTTAAATTTTTCTACATCTTTCAATATTTAAAAGGTAAACTTTATTATAATTTCTAAGAAAAAAAGCCATTTTTCTATAATTGGTGAAACCAGTTGATCACGGATGTGGATTGAGCTGACCGCGAATAAATTTACACGAAACTCGAGATGCTGGGTATTTTTACGATCGACTGAAAACCGCATATTAAATCTAGCAGTCACCTCGTGCGCGCTCTTTATCTCCTCAGTGAAGAACATAGTGATTTTATATAACGCCGGAATCCTGGCGATAAATAAAAGCTTCTCCCGTTTGGAATGGAGATTAACCAAAATGAGAGAGAATAGTAATTCGACGCATAGCTGATGCAGAAAAATGTCAGACAAATAAGTTAAAGGAAGCATAATATAACTGGCAAGGGAAATATATAGGATTGTAGGGTCAAGTTTTTCGTATAAAGTAATCTCTACTCGTCAAGAAAGAAAACGGGCGATGCCGTGGCAAATCGGTTACAGTCACGCCCAAATAGTATCGCCTTTGTTATCCTAACCTCCTTTCTAACTGGTGGAACATTGCTTATAATGAAACTACACTATCGGATGTCATTTAGAAAGAACCAGGGCGGGGATTCTGCTTATAATAAATGTTACTGAGTTATCACCTTTTGCAATTTCTCGTATCAAATTTCAAAATTTTAAATAAAAATTGTTGTTAATTTGTTTACACTTTACTGTGAAGGTTAATATACTGACACTGATTCTAATTTCCACTTAGATTTCCACTTCCATTAAGTCTAAACAATTGCACTTGCACTTCCACTCTCATTTATTCCAATTTTCATTCATTCATTAACATTTTTCAATTCCATTTTTACTTCCAGTAGTTCTTATTTTCACTTGTACTTTCACTTTCACCCCTGGTAAAAATTTCAAAATGTTTCCAGACTAATCTGTAATTAGTTGAAAAAGTCCGGTTTATTGTCAGGTTTTTGACATCTAGAATTAGTCCGGATAAATCCAAAATTTACCCTATTTGTGAAATGAATCCAAGTGGTCAATTACGTAACTTTTTCCGGATCCCACAATCTCGATTCCACATTTCGGATTCCACATTACACAGTTTGTATTCCGAATTCCACATTCCGGATCCCACTTTCAAAATTTCGTATTTCAGATTCCACATTCCGGATTCCACTTTTCAACTTCCGTATTCCGGATCACACTTTTCACATTCCGGATTCCACATTCTGGATCCCATATTCCGCATTGCACTTTCCACATTCCGGATTCCACATCCTACATTCTGAAAGTGGAATCCATAAGGTGAGAAGTGGAATATAGGATCCGCAAAAAATTTACGTAATTGACCCCCAGAATTAATCAGGTCTAATCCGAAGTCAGTTCTAGATTTACTGATTACACAGGCCGAATTAATTTTGAATTCAATAGAAGGAATTTTGCATTTATTGTATATGATTAATTAATGATTAATTAATATTTAAATATAAATTAATAATTCATAATAATTAATTTCGGTTTAATCCGAAATTAATTGGGACTTAACCGGACTAATTGCAGATAATAGAAATCCGACTCTAAAGGCGCGTATCCACTCGGCGAACACAGCGCGAACGCAACACAAAATATTAAGTATAAAGTAACTTAATTTCAATTAAGTGTAGTGAATATATTGGTCAGAATGTAACATGCATTATACGCCGTCAGTGAATTTGAAACTTATCTCAACTGTGAGAGAACTGCACCTGGTGGCATGAGTATAGCAAATGTAATAAAAGCAGCAAAACCTAATTAAATCCTTATTGTTGCGGACTAATTGCGGATTTAATACATACAGAGTGTCGGCTTATACCAGACTCATTTTGGATTCAGATTTTTAAACGGACTGAATCTGTCTAGATTGTACAAAAACAGTCCGAAAATAATATAAAATATTTCGAAATTAGTGCGGACAAAAAAAACAAATATAAGTCTGAAGTACTCCGAAACTTATATGAAATCAGTCCGTAACTTAACCTAAAATGATTCTGGAATATTCTGAAATTTGTATGTAAGAAATTCGATATTAGTCAGCAACAATCCGGTCTTAATCTGGTATAACATCTTAATCCGAAATGAGTCTGGAAAAATCCGGAAATTATATGTACAAAATCATCATTGTTGTGGACTAATACCAGATTTTTAAACAAATTTTCAATTAAGATTTGAGACCTGACTAAATTCGGATTCGTTACACACAGATTGTAGGGACTAATTCGAACTCCTTTCTGATTAAGATTTTTGTTCAGACTGCAACTGCTAATTTTGTACATATTAATTCAGAATTTTTCAAGACTCTTTTCGGATGAAGATGTTTTACATGATTAAATCAAGATTATTGTGGACTGACATTGGATTTTCCACATTAAGATTTCAAATTATTACGTACGCATATGTCGGATTTATTTTTTTGACAGTATACTTAATTCGGATTGTTGCGTACTGTTTGCGGATAGTTTACATACAAATTCTGGATTATTTTGGATTCATTTTGGACTGTTTTTTGATCTTACTAAAATCAAATTGTTGCGGGCTAATTGCGAATTTATTTCATGTCGATTTCAGACTATTCCGGACAGATCTCGGATTTATCTTTTCATTCCGACTAATTACTGACTAATACGGATCAATTTCGGATTGTTTTCTTATAATTTCTGGACTAATCCGGTCTGATTATATCTAGGTATAATATATTTAATCTGAAATCAGTTCGAAACTATAACCAGGGACTTCTACTGATTCTAATTTGCATTCATATTTATTTAGAGGTAAACGAATTTAATGTCATTAAATATAAACTTTCTTTAACTACACTGTTAAAAATTTTTGGCCGAAATTTTATACAAAAGTGTGTGAAGCAATTATCACATACAATTTTTTAAATTTACAACACATTTTTTGAAATTTAATACAAATTTTTTGATTTAAATTTTAAATACATTTATTTAGAATTTCAAACACTTTTCTTTAAATTTAATGTAAAAATTTTATCTAAAATTTCATACACTTTTAATTGAAATTTCATACATTTTTGTTTGAAACTCTATATACATTTATTTGAAATTTAACACATTTTTGTATTAAATTTTATATACTTTTATTTGAAATTTCATACATTTTTGTTGGAAACTTCATATACTTTTATATGAAATTTCATAAATTTTTGTGTTGAATTTCATACACTTTTATTTGAAATTTCATACATTTTTGTTGGAAACTTCATATACTTTTATATGAAATTTCATGAATTTTTGTGTTGAATTTCATACACTTTTATTTGAAATTTCATAAATTTTTGTATGAAATCCAAAACATTTTTATCTTAAGTTTAAAAATTATTGTTTGAAATTTTATACATTTTTCTTTAAAATTTCAGATACTTTTATTAGAAATTCTGTTTATTTTTATTTGAAATTTCAAACATTTTGATTTTAAATTTCAAATTTTTTGTCTGAAATACCGTACATTTTAATTTAAAACTTTTAAAAATATTTTGTACTTTTTTCAGAATATTTTTTTTCGCATTAAACGGAATATTTCAAATGAAATGAATTAGAAACATATAGTTTTAAAATGTTTATTCACCATATTTATTTAACAAACTTACAGTACATAAGGACTTAACAATTTTCAAGTTTAAATCTCAGCAAGACAAAGTCTTAATTTAGTTGTAAACATTACACCTTGATTAAAAATTTTCAATTTTTATAAATTATATACGACGCTTAATTTATAATCAAAGTTAGGTATTTTTACTCAATCCTTCCTTTTGTTCCTTGTTGCTGAATTCATATTCATAAAACCCTGAAAAAGATTATAATTGTAAATATATATACAGGATATACAATAGAAAAACATGCTTCTATCCAAAAATGCAGTCTTACCTCTGAAAAAATTCCAAGATTTTCTTCAATTTTTAGGATAGCATAACCAAACACATAATATAAGCAAATAACAAAGAAATCCGTATTTTCATCCTATAATAATTGACCTGAAAATTTAAGATTCAATTTATTAGATGTAAAGAAATAAAAAGAAAATTTTCCAGTAAAGAGTAGTGTACTGTTAAAAAAAAACCTAAGTTATGCTGAAGTATGATAAATCGAAATTCTATCAAATGAAATATTATTATTATTATTAATATTATTTACCTTGATTATGTAGTCCTTTAATTTAGTTAATTTAATTTACTTTTTTAACTCACTTCAATAATTTTTATTTTAAACAGTTTTAACGCTGGTTGAATCAGTATATTCTTGGGCAAATGCTCAAGAGCAACTGACGCTGAGAGGGACTTTCTGAGTAAAGTCTCTCAAAAAAAGTTACAATTTTCCAACATTTCCTGTGAATATTCCAAACCGAAAGAATTCACAAACTTTTAGTCTAAACGAATCTATAAGAAAAAAACTAGTACCGAAAAACTCATAAAATAGGTCCTCTTGAAATAAGAAACCCCTATAGGTGGTCGTATCCTAAGACGAACCAGATGTGCGCGAATCCTTTTAAAACGAGAAAATATTTCAAATATTTTATATATTTATTGCAGAATGAAAAATTTTTACTATAGAGTATAAAATCTTTTCTAAAACTAAATAATTTTTGTAGTGTTTATTTACAATTTTCATCATAATTTAAAAATGTGATTTTGTGCTTTTAATTAACATCATTTGCATTGTACACTGAAATAAGTTTTCTTAATTGAGAACAAAAAATTATTTTTGTTAACTTTATCTGTTTGTTAAACAAATTTTTAAATTGTACTTTCAAAAGATGATTATGAACATACGTTAGGTTATTTTTTTAATATTATTTATAAATATTTATTACAATTTACAAATTTCATTATAAATACTTGAAACTTTAAGACAATTTTATGTATTAAAATGTTGTAGTTTTATAATACTTTCTAATATTTGTATATGACATATTATATACAATTGTTTGAAATTTTCGAACAGATTTGTATGACAATGTTAAAGAATTACAAAACTTTCAAACAACTGTATTTGAAATTATTTCATAAACAAATTTTTGAATTTTTCAAACATTTTCTGTATTAAAGTGTTGTAAATTTGCAAAAATTTCAAACATATGTATTAAAAATTATTTCATATACAAATTTTTGAAATTTTCAATCACTTTCTGTATGAAAGTGTTGTAAATTTAGAATACATTCAAACATTTGTGTTTGAAATTATTTCATTAAAAAAATTGTGAATTATTCAAACATTTTTATATTAAAATATTGTAGATTTACAACACTTTCATACATTTGTGTTTGAAATTATTTCATAAAAAAAATTGTGAATTATTCAAACATTTTTGTATTAAAATATTGTAGATTTACAACACTTTCAAACATTTGTGTTTGAAATTATTTCATAAAAAAATTTTTGAATTATTTAAACACTTTTGTATTAAAATATTGTAAATTTACAACACTTTCAAATATTTGTGTTTGAAATTATTTCATATACAAATTTTTGAAATTTTCAATCATTTTCTGTATGAAAGTGTTGTAAATTTACAATTTTTTCTAACAGTGTACTTAAAAATATTTTTTCATAAAAATGAATGTTTCAAAAAAGAAAGTAAAAACTGTTTGCTGATATTTTCTAAAATTCTTGTGTCCATTTTGAGATTTTTTATCACTAAATAAGCATACCAAATTTTATTAAAACTCATTCAAACGCATTTACGTTATCGTGTTCACAAAAAAACTGGAGAATCACACACACATACATTTAAGCAATTGATCAGAAATTATATGATACAATTTTATAAAGAGGAAATTTTTTTTTCGTATTAAAAATTATTTGTTTGAATTACAAGAAAATTTCCTATTGAGATATAAAAAATTAGAGCCCATCAGAGTAAAAGTCTAATTAAAAATAAAAGCAAAAATTAAAGTTATTCAAACCAAATATTAAAAGCTGTGAACGTAAAAATGTGAGTGAAAACTAGAATCAGTATAAGTGAAAATGAAAATAAAATTTAAAATAAGTAAAAGTAAAAATTGGATATAGTGAAAGCGAAAATATGAGCAAAATTTAGAATCAATGGAAGTTATAGTAGAATTGAGAGAATGAGTAAAAATTGTAATTACATAATCAAAGCGGAAAAAAAATAATAGTTAAAATTAGTATCAATTGGAGTGGAAATAAAATTCCAAAATCGATCCTCTAGATTAATTTTTCAACGACACTATGTGCGATTATTGCTTAGATGATTGTTGGAATCACATTCTGTTCCGTGGTTTGCTTATTCATAGTTTTTTTAAATCTAAATTTGCAGAACACCGCAAAGATAGCATCGGCTGCCAATAATGTAATTCAGTTGTGGAAGAAATTGACTCATGTGCCCGGATGCTATCACTAGGATGAGTTCTCTTCCACTAATAAAAGATATATGCGTTCAGTGTAATATGACTGCAAAAGTTATTTGACGTCGCGCAGAAGGAAATCCTGAGTAATCCGCGACAGTGATCACGTTTATCCACATTTCCAACTCTTTTACGACTCCGAGGATACGACTTTGTCGTTTCAGTCTAACCTATTTCGAAACTGGTTGCACGAAAAAGGCGGAAAATAAGCTTTTCAATACCTAAATACAAATTGCTGTGCTTCAACAGACCAAAAAGAAAATTCAACTAATTTCAACGTTAAACAAATAAAGATTTTCTAAAATTCGATTAATGTTGTTAGATAAGTTTAATATATATTTTTAAATATTTATTTATATATTTTTATGTTATAAATTTATTTAATATTTTTGTTTGTTTTTGTATTCTTATATATTTTCCATATGTATATTTTCTATATCTTACTATATGTAAGAGTATTCAAAATATATAAGGAAGTTATTGATCCAACCATATTACAATCCTATTCAAAATATCAACAAAATTATATACCAAATTAAATAATCATTCCACATTATTCCTTTCAGAGATATATTAATTATTTAAATAAAAAAATTACCTAAAGAAATTATGTAATTATCTTATAGTTCTGAATCTGAAAAAATCTACCAAAAAAAGTTTGGTAAAATTGATGAAATTTAACTGAAACTATTGTAGTAAAGGGAAAGGGAGGTGGATCCGTTTCTTTTCTTTCGTAAATGAACTGAATAGTGTTTCGGTTATAAAAGGGAAATCTGACAAAAAAAAAAGAAACAATGAACTGGTTCTAAAATTTAAGAAAGAATTCAGGTAGGAATTTTAAATTCAGAAGTAGGAGGATCAGTATCACATTAGAGGATAATAACAAAAAAGTTTAAAAATGAGTTTTCTTCTTCAGCATAAGGTAATGACACACACACATTTGTTAAAGTTTCCACCGTCTACAAAATTAATCTGTAAAATTTATTTTTCTGTTTTACCGCTAAAAGAGAAAAGCAGTTTTACTTAGATTACATACAGACTTTTTGATGCATTGTAGCATTTATAAATTTCATCCTAAAAGTTCTAACACACATGAATTATTATCTTATTTTAGAACAGTTTCAAATAATATCGCACAGTTTCAGAAATATTGATGCTCAGAAAAATAAGTTATATAAAATCGAAAAGTTATACGTTCAAATTTTGTTTTATTTGAAAATCATGAGAATTTGTTTTAGAGTTTTCCAAGTTTATAACTATTCTCAAGGACATAAGAATGGGTGACCTATAAAATTATAATTTTATGGAAACAAAAAATTTATCACTGTCTAAAAACTTTATTAGGCAAACAAAAATTTTGGGAAAAAATAACATTGCATTATTGCATTGCAATTTTATTAAATAAATATTGTTTAAGGGTTGTCACGGGGCAAGGAAATCATGGAAAAGTCAGGGAGTACATAGAAAAGTACTGGACTTAACTAAAAAAAATTTTACTTCCTTGAATTGTTGAAAAACTGTATTAAAGTAATTTAAAAAATTAATTTTGCAAAGAATTTTAAATAAAATTTTTAGAAATATTTAATTATAAAGAATTTTAGTGAATTTTCAATTGAAAAATTTTTTTAAAAATAATTTAAATTTAAATGGTTTTGGTTAAATAATTTAATTTTCGGTTTAAAAATTTAATTTTAGAGAATTAATAATTAAAAAACGTTTTATGTAATTGAATTTTTGAAAAACTTAATTAAAGTTATTAGAAATAATTAATTAAAAAAGAAATTAAAGTTAAAATTTTTATAAAGAATTGAGTTTTCGAAGAGAAATAGTTTAAAAATTTTGAACTAATTGAATATAAGGAGATTTTTAATTAAAACATTCGTAAATTGGAATTTATGTAGATATTTTATAACCTTTAAACAATAATTAAACATCTGGAGAATTTTGAATTGGAAAATTTTTGAAGTAATTGAATTTTCGAAAATCTTGATTAAAATTATTAAAATTAAATTATTCAACAAAGAAATTAATGATACAAAATTTAGAAATGTATTTTAGAATTATTGATACTGTCATTTTGAATTGGTTAAATTTTTTTAAAAACTTTAGACAATAATTGAATTTTAATTAATTTTCAATTGAAAACTGTTTTAAATCATGTAATTTTCAAAGAATTCGTTTTAAATTATTGAAAATAATTGATTTTGCAAACAACTCAAGTTAAGGGCAAGTCCAACATGTGAAATGTAAACAAACATGAAATGTAAACAAACCATGCACATTTTTTCGCACCTCTCATTTGCGTAGAAAATAAAAATTTGTCGTTTTCTTTATGAAAATGGTAAATTTATATATTAGACTAGGTAACTATACTTTATTGAACTTATTATGTAAACAAATAAGTATAATTATAATGAAATAAAAAGTATACTGAAATATGAATTTTTTCAAGGTTACGAAAAATTTAGACATATTCGAGTATATCTGAGGCACGGACGTTGAGGACTTAGGTGGGAGAAAGTGAGAGAAGGGGTAAAATTTCAGAATTTTACCCTTTCCAAGATGTGACCGTCAAATGGCTCAACTCTTTCTCCCACCTAGGCGCTCAACGTCCGCCGTGCCTCAGATATACTCAAATGGTTTTTTTTCGAAACCTTGAAAAAATTGCTAATTCAGTCTACTTTTCATTTCATTATAATTGTACTTATTTTTTCATATAATTAGTTAAATAAAGTATAGTAACCAACTTTAATACATTAATTTACCATTTTCATAAAGAAAACGACAAATTTTTATTTTCTACGCAAATGAGAGGTGCGAAAAAATGTGCACGGTTTGTTTACATTTCATATGTTGGACATACCCTTAATATATATTTTTAATAATTTAATTTAAAAAAATAAAAGTAAATTCGAAAATGTCGTGCAATCCGATGCCTGTTATTGGAAACCTCTCGAAATATTTTCATTAGGGTAAGGGAAAAAATTTTAATTTTGACTGAAAATCAGAGAAAAACTAATATTTGTGTGTCAACCTTGTATTAAGAAATAATAATTTTGAAGTTGTTTTATTTTGAAGAATCGTTATTGAATATGTATTTAAGTATTTTGTCATTTTGCACATACTTGAGTTCGCCAACGACCCTTGAGGGGTTGCCTATAAAAACAAGAATCACACTCCACTCCTTTGAAAATGGAGTCTAGCTGATGAGAAAATCGTGCGACGCAGAGTAAGAGGAAACAGACAAATATGATGGGAACGTGTTCATTCTTTCTCTGATTTACTGCAATCTCATATATATATATAATAGTAATTACGCTTTCTCATCGTCTAACTGAAGCTGTGTAGATATAGATCCTCAATATG